CCATCACCATCACCATCATCAAAAAACCATCAAGTAAGCTAAATACTAATAGAGTTTTAAAATTATATCATGCTTTATGCCTCTTCACCGTTTTTATCCAATAATGGAATTTTCTTACTCCTTACCTAAGGAAATGGTCATGCACTCTTATTTGTTGAAAGGCACTATTTTGTGATAAAAGATCACTGGACTTGGAGCAAGAGATCTGGATTTGAATCCCTCCTCTCTCACATGCTAGCATCATGGCTTTAGGCAAGTCACTTTTCCTCAATGAGCCTCAGTTTTCTCAGTCATAAAATGGAGGAGAATAATTCCTACCCTCCCTATATCTCATAGAACAACATATAGGCATATGCATTTTGTAAACTCTCCAGGACTAACCATGACAAGGAAGCAGGGCATTGTGGCTAAAGATCTGGGGCCTCAATGCCTGGAAATGTAGGCTCAAGTCCTACCTGTGACACACATTGGCTGTGTGACCTTGGGCAAATTACTTAACCTCTCATTGCTCTAGGCAACTCTATTAAGATTCTAAGGTGCAAACTTGCATTAACAGGGGAATTTCCTCTAGCAGTGAAATAACAAATCCAGTCCCTATGCTATCCTTAAGGCACAAAACAAAACAAAACAAAAAAGAGATTAGTTGGTCTGGGTCCACACATGTGAAACTTTGAGGAAGAAGGATGTGAAGAAATGAATTTACTGAAGCAGCCGGTTTTCCTGGACATTGGTTATTATCTAGTGGCTTGTCCAGATTCCAGCTTGGCCATTGGCTGTTAGTTTGAAGCAGGTTTGTTTGGGTGGACACAGCCTGAATTGGAAGGAAGAGAAAGAATTAAGCAAATTCAACTGAACATTTATTAAGCATTTTCTCTATTCCAGCGGCAGCTAGGTGGCACAGTGCCTAGAACACCAGGACTGGAGTCAGGAAAACACCAATTCAAATCCAGCCTCAGATACTTACTAGCTGTGTGACCCTGGGCAAGTCACTGAACACTGTTTGCCTCAGTTTCCTCATCTGTCAAATGAGCTGGAGAAGGAAATAACAAACCACTCCAGTATCTTTACCAAGAAAACCCCAAAAGGGATCATGGAGAGTTGGGCCCAACTGAAAAAATGACTAACCAACAGAAAGGTTCCCAGGCACTCTGCTAGTTACTAAAGATTCAAAGAGAAAAAGGAGACGATCTCTTCCTTCAAGGCATTTACATTCTCCTAGAGATTTTCAAGTATGGAAGATCCAAGTACATAAGCAAATACAAAATACACATGAAAAAATTGCAAGAGGGACAGAGGACCTGAGGAAAGGCCTCATGTTGTATGTTGTTGGTGGCACCTAAATAACGCTTCAGAATCTGTAGCAGGGAGAAATCTAGCTGTGCACTGACATGGAGCCAACCCTTCTGAGCTTGTTTCATTAAGTTTTTCAATCAGGCTTAAGTACTTTTTCTTTTGGCAGATATTTTAAGACTACAAACATCTCAAACTGATAAATGGATCTATGTCTGAAATATTATTATTATTTCTCTTTTTTTAATTATTGATTTTTCCTCTGTGTATTAAGCTACAAAACATTGCCTCCTGTTTCTTTTTTACTGGCGCTGCCTCAGCTCAAGAGAGCAGCCTTCCATGGAATTGCTTCCCATAACATCTGAAACTAGTTATTTCTACCTTGTTTTTTTTCAAGCTCTCCCAAAGGCTGAGTAGCAATTTTGGTCTTGGAAATGGCCACGAGCAAAAGGTGTTGACGTAGCCTGATACTCAGAGGTCCAAGGCAAGAGGGAGTGAGGAAAGACTTTTGACAGCAGAAAATCAGAAACACACTCGTCTTCCAGTTGAAAACCAGAGGGGCAATGGAGAAACCATGGCAGCCTTCTTGGCATTTGACTGGTCTTGCTAAAATGCTCATTCTTGTGTGGGGGGTGGGGTGGGGGGGGAGGTGGCCTAAAAGAAAACAGAACGAGACTAAAGCAGTGTGGTGCTTATGGAAAGTGTGATGGATTAGAGTTGGGGGACCTGGGTTCAAATCCCTTCTTTGCCATTTTCTATCTTGTCACTTTAAGTAATTAACCTTATTTTTTTGCCTAAGTTTGCTCGACTGTAAAATGGGGATAATAATAGCACCTACCTTGTAGGATTGTTGTAAGGATAAAATGAGATAATATTTATAAGGTGTTTAACACAGTGCTTACCATATAGTAGGTGCTACATAAATGTTAGCTATTGATGATGATGATAATGACGATGATGATGGTGGTGGTCCTTGATTTTTAAATACCAAACAGAAGTTTGGTTGGTTTGGGTGTTTTGGGTTTTTTTTCATCTAAAGGTGATAAGGAGCCATTGAGGCTCCTTGAACAGAGTAGTAACTAACTCTTCACATAGGAAAGACTAAAGGGATGAAAAATGTCTATGGTCAGTTCTGAATGTGAGTTATGGAATACCACTATCTCTGAGAAATTGAAAATGAGTGTTAGCTATGTGACCTGGGTAAGTCATTTAATCCTGTTTGCCTCAGTTTCCTCATCTGTAAAATGAGCTAGAGAAGGAAATGGCAAATCACTCCAATATCTTTGCCAAGAAAAGCCCAGAGGGGGTCATGATGAGTCAGACGTGACTGAAACAAATGAATAACAAGATCTCTTAGAACAAAGGTGTCAAATTCACAGCCCCCAGTATGCAAACCATATTAAAATGTAATTGGGAAATTATTAACAAAATAAATAAAAAGACAGTAGAACATAGATAATGCTAATTTGTCATTTCTAAGGCAAAATTCACTGCTGGGATCCATTTCTATTTGAGATTGACACCTCTGATCTAGCGGTATCAGCGGAGAAGTTTGAATAGGCAGTAGAAACTTTAACTTTACAACAAGGAGTTATAAAGAAGTAGTGGAGTGATGGTTGGCATAAAGAAAGTACGATCAAAATAACATGAGTTGACCATATGTAAGGGTTAACCCATGAATAGCCTGTATGGGCGACCAGTATCCTCATGATATGAAGACAAAGCAAGGTCAGCCCTTGTCATATTGCCCATTGCCTACAGCATATTTATGCATGCATAAGAGTCTAACATGATGGGCAGCCATGAATGGGTTGCAATCTGCCTGTTGGAGTGAAAGCTCATATTCATGAGATCAGATTCATTCATGTAAATACTGGGTACTAGGGATACAATGAAAAATAACTCACTTTCCTTGACAAGCTTAATACTTTGATACATCTCTCTAGATCTTTCCTATGTCTCCATCACACTCCACTGTTCTTATTTTCTGCTGGTATTTCTATTTCCAGCATTTGTCACAGTATTTGGCATATAGTAAGTACTTTATAATGAATTGTTGACCCTTCCTTGTATTATTTGTTGGTGTTGTTCAGTCATTTCAGTTGTGTCTGACTCTTCATGATCCCCTTTGGGGTTTTCTTGGCAGAGATACTGGAGTGGTTTGCCATTTTCTTCCCCAGCTCTTTGTACATATGAGGAACTGAGGCAAAGAGAGTTGAGTGACTTGATCAAGTACATGTATCCAGTAAGTGTCTGAGGCCAAATTTGAACTCATTTCTCCCTGACTCTAGGCCTGGCTTTCTACCCACTATGGCACCACCTCGCTGCCCTGCCTCCTTTCATTATAGCATGTTTTATATCCTGCTGCAACCTCAAATAGAGTGTAAGCTCCTTGAAGGGAGGGGCTATGTAATTTTTATCCTTGCATTGCAGGTACCAAGTACCTACTAGGTCCATTAAGAATATATTTTCGTGGAGCAGCTAAGTGGCACAGTGGATAGGGCACTGGCTCTGGAGTCAGGAGGACCTGAGTTCAAATCCAGCCTTAGACCCTTGACACTTACTAGCTGTGTGACCCTGGGCAAGTCACTTAACCCTGATTGCCTCACCAGAAAAAAAAGAATACATATTTTACCTGGAAAGACTTGTATAGACTGATGATGAGTGAAATGATCAGAACCAGGAGAATACTGCACACAGTAACACCCACCTTGTTCGCTGACTAACTTTGATAGACTTCGCTCTTCTCAGCAATGCAAGGATCTAAGACATCTCCAAAAGTCTCATGATGAAAAATGCTATCCTCATCCAGAGAAAGAACTATGGAGTTTGAATGCAGATTGAAGCATACTATTTGCTCTCTTTTTTCTTCTGTTTTGTTTTGTTTCCTCTTTCTGGTGGTTCCTCCTGTTGGTTCTAATTCTTTCTTACAATTAATGTGAAAATACGTTTAATAGGAATGTATTTGGAAAGCCTATATCAGATTGCATGTCGTCTCGGGGAGGGCGAAGAGGAGATGGGGGAGAAAATTTGAAACTCAGAAGCTTATGGAAGTGAATGTTGAAAACTAAAAATAAATTAATAAAAAACAATTTTAAAAAGAACATATTTTTGGAATTAATTTGAATTGTTATCACTGGATGGCAGATATGGATGGACATTACACAATTAGGTGTCACTGCTCCATGTCATATGAAATGATCACTGAGAGACAACAGATGAGTGGTCCAAAATAATTCTGTGTAGGCTGAGTCTGTAAAGGCTAAGGGTAAAAAATATATAGAAAGATGGGGTTAATTTGATGAAGGAATTCTGAAGGAAATGTCCCAGTAGAATGTAAACTTCTTGAGGGCAGAGATTGATTTTCATTTTGGTTTTATATCCTCAGCTCCTCAGCACCCAGCACACTGAATATTGGGCAGAGGTGTGTCAATAATTATCTCTCCAAAAAAATTGTATGCATTACTTTTACTTTTAAATTTAATCTGCATTATTGTCATTTTCCATCATTTCTTAAGTCCACAAATCAATGAAACCATAAACCAAGTCAAGATTTATAAGATTTGCTGATTTAGTACCTACTATGTGTGCTAAGGTGTGCCAGGTGATGAAGATACAAAGATGAAAATAGAATGGCCTTGCCTTCAAAGGGCTTACATTCTATATTTCCATGAAGTCTCATTGCTTGCTTTCCCTTCCCTTTGTTTCAGGTGTCTGACAGATGTGACTACGTCTTTGTCAATGGAAAGGAAATGAAAGGCAAAGTGAACGTTGCAGTGAAGTTCACCTACCAGCACCTGAGCAGCCCCCTGGAGATGACTGTGTGGGTGCCCCGGCTCCCACTCCAGATTGAGGTCTCTGACACAGAACTCAACCAGATCAAGGGCTGGAGGGTGCCCATTGTCTCAAATAAGAGGTAAGTTTTATCAGACTGTACCCCTGCCGTACACACACAAACACACACACACACACACACACACACACACATACACACATACACACACACACACACACACCTGATATGGTACAGTGGAAAGAGTGTTGATTTTGTACTCAAAGGCTCTGGATTCAAATCTCAACCACCTCCTGACATAGTAGAGAGAGTCCTAGATTTAAAGTTAAGAAGACCTAGTTTTGAATGCTTCCTCAGGGACTTAACTAGCTATGTGGCCACGGGACAACTGATGAGACAGCCTCTCTGAACCTCAGGCTCATCTTCTGAATGGGAATAATAATACCTGTAGTGACTACACTACAGGGTTTGGTATTTTTTGGAGGCTTTATTGAGATGGTTTTAAAATGCTTTGTAAACTTTAAAGCACCATCTGAATGTCAGTTATTATGATCGTCTGGGTCGCCTTGGGTCAGTTAACGTCTCCTTGCTTCAGTTTCCTCATCTATAAAATAAAGGGATTGGACTAGATGGCATCTCAGGTCCCTTCTCAGTTCCAACTCTGTATTTTCACACATGACACGCAATCTCCCATCTCTGTGCCTTTGTACAGGCTTTCCCTCCTGCCTGGAGTGCATTCCCTCCTCACCTTAGCCCTTTAGAATCCCTAATTTTCCTCAAAGCTCAGTTTAAGTGTGACCTTCTACGTGAGGCCATTTCTCAACCTTCCCCCAACTTTTAGTGCCCCCCAATTACCTTGTATTTATTATGTACATATTTTACTTATATGTGTGCATGTATAGATTGTAAGCTCACTGAGGACAGGAACTGTTTCATTTTTGGTTTTGAACCTCCATCACCTAAAATAGTACCTGACACATGGTAGGTGCCTAATCAATGCTTGTTAATTGAATAGTATGTTGATTACTTGATCCTGTGATCCTATAAGCTGAGTAATTTCTCCAATACTCATTGAATCAGAGACTCTGAGTACAGTCATCTGGTCTTAATACAATTCCATGGAAAAATCAAAATGCCATCATCTATTCACACCAATTAGATAACTTTGAGAGTGCACAATAAGAGAGGGGTGGAATGTAATGAGGGCCACCATCTTAACCATCAAAAACTTTCCACTATAGCAACTAATGGAAAAGGATACCTTACTCTGGTCAATATAAAGAGAATTGTGTAAACCCAATCTCTGCCTTTGAGGAGGTTATCATTGAAAACAGACACTCTAGGATCAAAGTATTTAAGGGGACTTTAGAGGTCATCTAGTCCAACTCCCTCATTTTATAGAGAAGGAAACAAATTCCGAGGCCAGGAGATGAAATGACTTTCCCCAGATCACACAGATAGTAAGTATTAGAATCAGGATGATAACCCATATCTTTAGATTCTAAATTCAGTGTTATTTCTATTACACCTGCTTTCCTAGTGGGGAATGGTGTGTAAAGGACAGAGACAGACACAGGTAACAGAACATTAGCTTTATCTTGACAGCACAAAACATAGAGACTGCCAGATGGCATAGTGGATAGAGCCTTGTGCCTGGAATCAGGAAGATATGAGTTCAAATCCAGCCTCAGCCAATTACTATGTGACCTTGAGCAAGTCACTTAACCTCTGTTTGCCTCAGTTTCCTTGTCTATAAAATGGGTATATAATAATAGTACCTTCTTCCCACAGTTATCGAGGATCAAATGGGATAATCATTGTAAAGTGCTTAGAATAACCTGGCACATAGTAAGTGCTATATAAATGTTTGCTATTGTTATTATTATTATTATTATTCTCTGCAATTTATAGTCTTAGTGAGCTTCCTGGAGCTGAGAGATTGTCCAAGGTTGCAAAGCCAGTATGTGTTAGAGGCAAGACTTGAACCCAAATCTTTCAGGCTCCATCCACTAAATCAAAAAAATTCAAGTGGCTCAATGGGACCAAGGCTTGATTTGTAGTCAAGGAGAAATTGAACTAGCCAAGGGTTCTTAATCTAGGTGCCTATAGAACACATCGCCCTTCCCCCTATGGACGTGAATAGGGAAAAAAATTACATTTTCATTTTCCAACTGATATTTTAAGATTTCCTTCAATTATGAATTAAATTCACTTAAATTCAATTAATTCAATTATGAATTAAAAAAATATTCTGAGGATTCTACAAGTTTAACCAGTCTGCCAAAGAGGTCCATGACAGCAAAAAGGTTAATAACTGCTGGGCTAGATAATATAACATCTACATCCATATGGAATTTTGAGATTTGTGAAGGCTCTTGTAACTGTTATCTCATTTGATCCTCCCAACCATGCCATGAGGTCAGTGCTGTTGTTAACCCCATTTTAGAGATGTGGAAACTGAGACCCAAAAGTTTTTTTAACTTACCTAACTTTTTTTAACTTACCTAAGGTCACACAGTATCTAAAAGCTTAAGGAAGGATTTGAAATCAAATCTCACTGACTCCAAGGACAACACTACTATAGTAATCTTTTCTAGTTAGCCTCTGAAGTCCCTTCCAGCTTGCCATCTATTAATCAATCAACCAATAACATTATTTATTAAGTATCTACTATGTGTCAGGCACTGTGCTAGGTCCTGGGGATATAAGTACAAAGAATGAAACAATCCCTATTCACAGTGAGCTTACATTCTAACCCATCGATGAGTTAAAGGATGTCAGTGCCAAGCATGTGAAGACTTCCTCTGGCGGGGAATGGGTGGATGAGAACAATTTGTTCCAATGGCCATGGAGGCAGCTGAAACAGGTGCTATGGAGCACTTAGAGCTTGGTCAGACATCAAAGATGCCAAGGGCATCCACTATATCTCTAGTCATCACTTGACTTTTGTTTTGCCATTGGACTTCCATGATTCTAGAAGACAGAGGCTGATGACTTTGCGCAACTCTGCCTCACTTAAGTCCCGTTCACAGGGGAGTCAAGACGTCACCCCATGATATCACTGGTCTTCTTTGAAACAAAGACAAAGTGAACAAATGCAAATATATACAAAGTAGTTAAATACAAGGTAGTTTGGGAGGGAAGGATCAGGAAAGACTTCAAGTAGAAAGTGTCACTTAAGCTGAGATGAATTCTGGAAGATGGAGATAAGAAGGGAGTCACCATATAATGATGAAGAATATTTTTTGTGAGCAAGTACACTTTAGCAAAGGAAGAAGGATAAATTCTCAGTAAGAGAATTGAGGTAACAAATCCCTCTTCTCCTTGGGATAGTCCTACTGGCCTCAGGAAGAACAGGGCTTCTGGCTTTGATTGGGAAGTGTGGATGGAGGAGAGATTGTTGCCACCACTGAAAAGGGCAAAAGGTACTGTATCCCTGTAAGTCTGTGTCAATAAGAACAGAGTTTTGAGCGGGGAAGCAGTCCTGTGGTCCAGCCCAGCTGTTGTAACAGCCGCACAGTCCAGATGGTTAACACAGTTTGTGAGACTGAGTAACCTCTGTGGTGGAGATGGGGATGTGAGCATCTATACTGAGGGTTTGGGTAGGGGGTGTCCTCAGATCTAGTAGAGGAAAAAGAAACTCTAAAGAAGTACCAAGCAGAGGAATTGATCGAGATGCTGCAGTGGGCATGCTTCATCATTTCGAGGTGTCCTACAAGAAATGGGGAAGGGAGATGCAAACACTGACCCAATAACACGCAGATTTGACTGCCATTCTTAGGAGGTGACCTCTGGCCCTGAATGAAGCCTACCACTCTTCCGGTTCTAGCATCCTAAGAATCTAGTGCACCAGAGACTTCCACAGGGCATGGGCCCCAACCTGTCTATTTGGCAGAGATGTGAGAATTGGTATGAGGAAGAGAAGTAGGAGAAATAAGTCAGGCAGTTTGGTAGGGCATTGTGCCTGGATCTGCTCCTGTAGACCCTGTGCCAGTGATTTAATCTCTCTGTACCTCAACTTCCTCTTTTGTAAAAATGAAGGGGTTGGAATCAATGACCTCTGAAGTCCCAAATAGTTCCAGATCTACGATTCTACAGTTTGACTTGAAGCCAAAAAGACCTGAGCTTGAATCCTGCTTCATGACTTGTTAACTGTGTGACCCTGGGCAAGTCACTTAGACTCTGAATCACAATAAAATGGGTAAAAATAATTGCACCTATTTTACAGAGCTATTTGTGAGGAGCAAATGAGATTTTATATATATACACACACACACATATGTATGTATGTATATAATATATATTATGTATTTATTATATAATTATATATGTATATTATATATTATGTAATATATATATTTGTAGAGTGTTGATAATATCTGCAATTCATTATTTTCTTATCTTGAAATAATAATGATTTATATGGTACTTTACAGGTAACAAAGTATGGTATTGTTTTAATTTTTTTATTTTATATATGTATATACACATATATAATATATTATAGATAATTACAGTGTGTGTATATATATATATATATATATATATATACATAAACACACAGGGATAGATAGATAGATAATTAGTACTGACTTATCTTTGCACATAGTGTATCTTCCTAATAGAATGTAGGCTCCTTGAGGACAAGGAATTGTTTCACTTCTATCTTTGTATCCCTGGGGCTCAAAATGGAATCATCTTACTGAATAAATGCTTGTTCATTGATTGGCTATTGATAGCGTAATCATTACGCTCACATAGAACCCCCTACCCCATTCTTTAAGATCTTAAGTTGCCGGAGACTAGTGATGTCAAGCTCAAATAGAAATGGATCCCTGCGAGCCATAGATTGACCTAGAAACCACAAATTAACATTGTCTGTGTTGTATTTTTATTTATTTTGTTAATTTCTCAATTACCTTTTAATCTGACTCTTGCTGACTATATGTGCCAGTAGGCCATGAGTCCAACACCTTTGCCTTAGACTCTAAAATGCCTAGTGTCTTCTTGGTTGTTATCATAAAGCAATCATACCTACAATGCTTAAAACACTCTGGAGATAAAAAGAAAAAAGTCAAAGAGTCCCTTTTCCTCATGAAGCAAAGACTCTATGGGTGTAAAGGAAGGTAATGGCTCCTGTTCTTGTCCCCTCTAACTCTGCCAGGCCAGTCCGGGACAGCGATGATGAGGAAGAAGATGAAAGGCGGGGCAAAGGCTGCACTCTCCAATACCAGCATGCCATGGTGCGTGTCCTTACCCAGTTTGTGGCTGAGGCCTCTGACTCTGGAGGACAGCTGGCCCACCTGCTGGGCTCTGACTGGCAAGTGGACATCACGGATTTGGTGAACAATTTCATGCAGGTGGAAGAGCCACGGATCGCCAAGTTGCAAGGAGGGCAGGTTCTGATTGGGCAGGAGCTCGGAATGACTACCATTCAGGTAAGGAAGCCCAGAGAGCTGAGATCCTGGCTCTCTCTGCCTCAGCCCTGCCCCTTCAAAGGAGTTTGCCCAAAGGTGAGAATTCTGCTCTGGGGGTAGTATCTAGGGCCAAAAAGGAGGCCATCTCCCTCCCTACACCCTTATGAAGGAAGTTCTTGACAAAGTCGAGAAAACTTGGGCTTAAATCCTACCCCTGACGCTAACTAGCCACATGACCATGGGCAAGTCACTGGATCTCTCTGAGCCTTAAGCTACTATCAGGGTATATATGGGCTATACTCTTCCAGGGAGTTCCCCACACTGCCAAAACCAAAAGTCTTTGACATAGCTATGGACTCACTCATGAAATGAAGGAAAAACCCTGAGAGACAAGAGTTTTGGGGTAATTAATAATCTGTTTATTAATTAGGCTAGCTGGCAATCAAGAAATTGATGGTCAATGGTTTCTCTTGGTAACCAAAGATCCCCAGTGGAGACCCTGAGAGCTTTAAATACCTTTCTAAAAGGGAATGCCCCTGACAAGTGAAAATCAACCCTGACTAGTGGACATTTAATGAGGTGGGCTAGAAGTCTTCACCTCCTCCTGCTGAGAACATGGCTTGGTCATGAGACTCAGCTGCATCCAACAATCTGGACCGAGGGATCCATCTCCAGCCATAAAGGTCTGGCTGGTTTTTCTTCTTCATGAGCTGGGTCACCCTAAACTCCAATGAAGGGGTACAAAGACAGGGGCTCCTTTCCTCAGGATAAGGACTCTTCCAGACTAGATTCTGTTTCTACTTTGAACAGATGCTAGGTCTCCTGGTTGGATGGGGTCCTGCCCAAGATTAAAGAGCATATTCCTTGAGGTCTAGGAGTAATGTGTCCTTCAGAGACTGGCTTTTTATAGGAGGTGGGCCTTAATGAGGAAATGGAGGAGAAAACCCTGGATCACAAATTAATAATTAGTTTTTAATATAACAGTGTAAAAAGTTATCTCACACATTGTCTAGAATGCATCGAACAAGAGCAGGAGGTCATATGACTGTGGGCTTTGTCATTGTCTAGGCTACATCTTTGAAATCTCCAATATGTTGTAAGACAGTATTTCCTAAATAGGGAATTTCCAAGAATAGAGACAGGAGATCTATGGGAGGTTATGAATTTTTTGAGACAACTAGTCACGCTGCTCTGCTTGCATCCTGGGCGTGATCTATTCCCTTGTATTCCACATTATTTTCTCATCCCTTGTCATCCTCTCTTTACTATTGCTTCATTTCAGTAATCATTCATCAAGCTGGATCTGCATGCAGGTCACTATGCCAAGTGCCAAGGAGAGGTCCAAGTTACCCTAGATAGGGTAACTGCCCTCATAGACCTTCCAACTTGAAAGGAGGATACAGCAAATATATAAATAATTTAACTTTCATGAATTTGTTGATCCCTCTTGTGATGCAAATTGCAATCTATCCATGCCTGCCTATTATGAGCAACTCTGATCCATCTCCTCTGACAAATCTGCATGAGACTCATGTGATGTGCCCAGGGTGCTTTCAATCTCTTGATATCACATGGATACCAAGGGACAGCACTAGTTATATCTCTCAAGTCCATCTTTTTTGTTCTGATCATGCATTTCTTAGATGATGGACCATTAGAGGGTGCCATAATGCATACAGTGCTGGGTCTAGAGGCAAGATGACTCATCTTCATGAGTTCAGCTCTGGTCTCAGACATTTGGTAGTTGTGTGACCCTGAGCAAGTCACTTAACCCTGTGTGCCTCAGTTTCCTCATCTGTAAAATGATCAATTCTTCAGACTGTAGTGTGCTATGACTTGTAGCCAAAAGAAACAGGAAAAATATCATAAACATAAAAATATTGAGAGAGAGACAGAGACAGACAGAGAGACAGAAAGACAGAGACACTGAGAGAGAGCTGGTCTGGAAGCCAGAGAGACCTGAGTTCAAGTCTTACCTTTAATGTATATTGTCTGGGTGACCCTGGGTAAGTCATTTAAAATCTCTGTGCTCTAGGCAACTTTCTGACTATAAGTCACAAAGTAGGTGCTGATCTACATTAGCAGAGGGCATTTCCTCACTAGGAATTCCTTGTCCCATTGAAATTATACATCCAATACAAAAATCCTGACGAAGATGGTAATGATGATGATAATGATGATAATTAGGAACAAGTAACCCAATTGGTAAGAGGGTGAAGAAAGATAATACATTTCTAAAAGCTCTTTAGGCTATTTGAAGATTAGACATTTGCTTCTTGAGTTGGAAGAAGTCTTACATAACTTGTAACTGGGAGAGATCAATCGATTTGACAATCAGCAAGAATTAATGAAGTGCCTACTATGTGTCAGGCACTGCACTAAATGTTGAGAAGACATACAAAAACCAAAATGGTGGCTACTTTCAATGAATTTACATTCTATCAGGAAAATAGCACACAACTACATACTTGAGATTTTCGGAAGTTCCCAATAGGGGAAGAGGGGCTGTGACTCCCAACCAGTAACTCTCATTCCTGGGTATTTTACCATCACAATATTTCAGTGAATCATGCAGCATTACCTTGGGAAAGAACATTATCCTCTGTCTAATCCAAACCATGCTCAAAACCATAACACCCTCTGTTTGACAAGTGTCCATCCAATTTTGTCTTAAAGACTTCCAAAATTCTTCACTTCCCGAGACAACTGCTTTGGGAATTTAGAAGGAAGTTATTCCTTAAAAGGAGCCTAAATTTGACTCTTGGCAATTCCTGCCAATTGTATCTGATTCTTACTCCTCATCAGTCTTCTAGATGACAGCCCATGTTTCCTATTAGTATTCTTCTGGGCTAGACATTCCCTTTTCCTTAACCAGTCTTCGTATGGCATGAGCTCAACCCTTTCGCCTTTCCTGTCTATTCCCCTCAACACTCTCTAGATTAATCAACATCTTCCTTAAAATGTGAAGCCCAAAATTGAACATGTCATTATTTACTTAAATTATTATTCCTCATTTTAATTCCCATATCAATTTATCTTTCAGTTACCAAGATCATCTCATTTCTGATGATACAACATATCTATATAGCTTGCATGAATTTATCTTATTGATATAAGCACTTCTTCCAGTGGGACAGATCCATGCCCTCTCATCCTTTACAATTCCTTCCCATGGTTCCCCTCTAATTTCTCTACCCAAAGGTGTCCATTAAACTCCCTGTGGAGTTTCCACAAGATCACTTGAGATGTTCTAGATATTAGTAAAGTATGCAGAGATATCTACCAGCTATCCTTTACTCTGGCTACATGGCTGCCTCCTCCACCCACTTCCTTTTCCAGCCATATTTGGAGGCAATAGGTGTAGTGGAAAGAGTTCTGAACTTGGAGTCATAGGACCTGGGTTCAAATTCTCTTCCTGCTACTAAGTGTGAACTTAGCCAGGAGTGGGGAAATTGTGGCCTCAAGGTCACATGTGGCCCTCTAGGTCCTCAAGTGTGGTCCTTTGGTTGAATTCCTTAAGGCGATTTGTTCTATGAAGTTTGGATTCAGTCAAAGGGCCACACCTGAGAACCTAGAGGGCCACATGTGGCCATGAGGCCACAGGTTCCCCACCCCTGAGGCAATTCACAATTTCTCTGAGCTTCTGTTTCCTCATCTGTAAAATTAGTTTGGACTAGATAACCTCTGAGTTCCCTTCTAGCTCTGGATCCATGATCTTCTCTGGCATAATTCTTTGTTAGTAATAGGTTATACTCTATCCACTACTACTATTGCTGTTAGTGTGACCCATGATTTTCATTCATCAGATTCTGTGGCATTCCATAATTCGTAGCCTCACTAGAAAAGTACTGATGTTAAAAAGATGCCCCCTTCCCATCTTTTGTGATACAAATTTCAGAAATTCAGGACACTTTTTATAGAGTCTTCAGAGGTTTTCTCAGTTCCTTAAATATATCTACTTTTCCATTAAGAGATACTGAGTCCCATTTGTATCCCGAGCCAATTTTTCAGGCTAGGAGCAATGGCCCCTCTAATCTTGCATTAAAAAATAAAGCTGCCCTTTGGTTGCTGCTAGAGAGTACTCTTAGTCTTCTGTCTCTGGGGCCATCAAGTGTTTCTTTTTCCTTAGTGCTTCCTTGTCCCTTCATAGCACAAGTTTTCTCATCTGCCATCACCTTAGAACACACAGCTCATCTCTCATTGTCAAAGTCAGACATGGGAATTAATGAGGGTAGCTGGATGGGGCTATACAACTTGGGTGTGAAGGCTTAAGGAGTTTGGGGTCTCAAGGTGCAATTCAACATACGTACTCATAAATCTCCCTGGCAGCTCTGAAAGGGGAATTCAGAGAGAGACAGATGTCCATGAGGTCAAGCTTTCAGCAACAATTCAATTATAATCCATTCAATCCAGAAAAGTAATTCTCCAAAGAGTACTGTTTAACCACCAGCCCATCCCACTTACTTATTTAGGCTATGGGAAAGAAAAGAAAAAAAAAGCCCTCCCCAAACAGCATCCCCCCAACTCTTAAGGACTGTTTATGTCAATACCTGTTCCATGTGGCCCATTATCTTAGTTCTTTGCTAAAGACCTAGAGGGATAAACATAAAATTCATTGTACAAATTGTACAAAAAAAATGTACATTGTACAAAAAATGTACACAACTTCACTGACATTGGGGAGGAGAAGGAATGTTATCTCTAGATGGTACCAATGAATAGAGTGCTAGACTTGGAGTCAGCAAGTTCTGAGTTCAGATCTTGACACAGATACTTACTAGTTGTGGTGTGAGCCTGGGCAAGTCATTTTAACTCTGAGCCTCAGTTTCCTCATCTGTAATATCACCAAATTCTCAGGGTTGTTGTGAGGATCAAATGAGAGATATGTAAAGTGCTTTGTAACCCTTAAAGTGCTATGTAAATGTTATATGTTACTAATAATATTTTGCTACCAATTAATTAAAGCATTAGTTATTAATGTAGATTGTCAATAATTGGTGTTTTATTCATACTGATTATTATGTTTTATTCCTTACATTCTTATTATTATAGGTACCTTAAGGTCATAGGGCAGGTTTTAACCTAGCATTGAATAATATTTCCAAATGTAAATAGATCTTTTGTAGCTGGTATTCAAAGTAATACATACAAGGGGCAGCTAGGTGGCACATTGGATAGAGCACCAGCCCTGAAGTCAGGAGGACCTGAACTCAAATCCGGCCTTAGACCAAACACTTGACACTTACTAGCTGTGTGACCCTAGGCAAGTCACTTAACCCCAATTGCCTAAAAAAAAAAAAGACAAAGTAATACATACTGAATAACAGCTCCCATCGTGGTGAAGTGGGAAGAAGACTAGACTTGGAGTCCAAAGTCCAAATTCCAAGTTCAAATCTTGGCACTGTCACTGAGGATCACAGGCTCATAGAATAAGCTAGAAGGGGCCTTAGGGGCCATCTAGTCCAATCTCTTCTTTTTATAGATGAGGAACTGAGGCCCAGAAAAGTTTAATGACCTATCCAAGATCACATAGTAAGGATCAAGTAAGATTATAGCTGTAAGCAGCTAGATGGTTCATTGAATAGAGCTCTGGTCCTAGAGTCAGGAAACCCTTAGTTTAAATCCTACCTCAGACATGCAAACTGTGTGACCCTGGACAAATCATTTACCTTCACTTAGCCTCAGTTTCCTCATCTGTAAAATGGGAATGACAAAACCACTTACATCACAGGATTGTTGTGAGGATCAAATGAATAAAAATTTGCAAACCTTAAAGTGCTTTATAAATTCTAAGTATTATTATTATTATTATATTAAGTAAATTGCTTTGCATTCTCTTTATATATGTATATAATATACATAAAATACATGATAAAATATATAAATACATGTAACTATAAAAATGCTAGCAATTTTTAAATAAGTGCTTTGCATCTCTTTATGTATGTAATATACATTAAAACATATTAAAACATCAATATATGTAGCTCTATAAATCTTAGTTATTATTAATAAGTGGCAAAATTCCAAGATTCCTTCTAGATCTAACCTGTGACTTAAAGACTTCCCTCATAACTTCCCTGGGAAATAGGCATTGCAAGTATTACCATCCCCATTTTGTAGATAAGGAAACTGAGGGTTAGAAGGGTAAAGTGACATTCCTGTAGTCACAGAACTAATTAATGACAGTGGGAACTGGAACTCAGTTTCCTGAAACCCAATGCCTCTCTCCACTCTACTCCTAGTGATGAATGAAGATGTTTTCCTTTAATAATTCAAGATCGAATGGAAGGTTGATTGGCATCAACTGTGGTTTGTGTGTCTTCTCTTTTTTGTTTTTCTCATAAAGGGTTGCTTCTGCTGGGGCTATTTTTTTTGTTTTTGTTTTTTGTTTTTTTTGTTTTTAGGCAATTGGGGTTAAGTGACTTGCCCAGGGTCACACAGCTAGTAAGTAAGTGTCAAGTGTTTGGTCTGAGGCCAGATTTGAACTCAGGTCCTCCTGACTTCAGGGCTAGTGCTCTATCCACTGCACCATGTAGCTGCCCCTGGGGCTTATTTTCAGAGCAGAATATGTATTTTAAAAAAATAATTCTAATGCTGATTCTTCTGTTCAGATCCTGTCCCCGCTGTCGGACGCCATCCTGGCTGAGAAGACGGTGACTGTATTGGATGAGAAAGTGACAATCACTGACCTGGGGGTCCAGCTGGTGACTGGGCTCTCCCTCTCCTTGCAGCTCAGCCCAGGGAGCAACCGAGCAATCTTTGCCACCTCCATAGGGCAGGAGCTACTGCAGATGCCTAAGCAGGTACCAGGGCCCCTGGTCGTTTTATGGACCAACAGCTCCATGATACAGCCTGACTAGACCCTCCCTACCCCCTAACACTACAGGTGTTCAAGAGGCGGCTGCCAGAAAGGTTGTAAGGGGGAATGAAGCATGGAACAGGCCAGTGTCTCCCTTTTCCAGGCAATCTTCCAAGTAGCTGCCAAATGACCATTCTTAAGTCACAGATTTGACCATCTCACTCCCCCACTGAAAACATTTTGCTGGAAAACTAGATCATTATGTTAGTTCCCAGTCATTTTCAAACCATGGCATCATACCACCATCATCAACCCCTTTTTTAAACTCTCCTTTACACTTTATATTCTCCTATTAGAATGTAAGCTTATCAGGGGCAAGGATTGTCTCCCTCCCTTTTATTAGGATTGCCAGTATTTTGCAGAGTTCCTGACACATACTAAGTGCTTAATAAATACTTTTCCATTCAGTCATTCACTCATCCATCTGTTTTTTCTTCAGTTTTGCCTCTAGGACAGAATATCAAGTCATCAAGCATTATTACACACTATATATCAGAGTTGCCCTCAAGGGGCTCACAATCTAATGGGGGAAGCAGCATGCAAACAACTGTGTGCATATTGTACATACATACACATGCACACAGAAACTCATATAACATATTTACATAGAATATATTTATGTATTTCTAAACATAAATATACACACACACAGAGGGGTGAGCTGGTAAATGTTGAACAACTATGTAACAAATGTGCATGACAATTTAAATATTAAATTAAAATTGCATGAACACTCTCTTAAATCTAGACAATCAACCGAACAATAAATTAAGCTTTTATTTGTACCATTTGCCAATTTCTGAGGTATAAATGCCCACCTTGAAAATGTGATGATTGTAAGCCAATTCAAGCTGGCACCAGCAAAATTATATATGTATGTGTGTGTGAAAAAAATAGGTAGAGATAGAAATGTGTGTATATGTATGTGTATATATGTTTATGTGTATGTGTACAATGTGACATGTATCCGGTCACCATGATCACACACACATACATGTATACATTCATATCTGCATCTACATATTGTAATAAGCATATGCTGTAAGTGTAATAAATAATATATACCCGTATGTGTATAAATAAATTAGGAGTAATCCTAGAAAGTCTTCTTGCATAAACTCCTTAAGAGGCCTTTGCAATCTGGCTCTGGCCTAACCTTCCATAAGACTTCACGTTACTCCCCTTAGCACACTCTTTGTTCTAGCTAGACTTGCCTACTAGCTCTTCCCCCACTTTGATAAACCATCTCTTGCACCAAGGTGCCTAGACCAGGGTTGACCCCATCACTTGGAATGTACTCCCTCCACTTTTCAGAATGCTTAGCTTCCTTCAGTCTTCATCTCAGGAGCCCCTTCTGTGAAATCGTGCCTCCTACACAAAATTGTTTTTCCTGATTGCCTGGGTTGTGGATGATCTTTTCCTCCTGAAATCACGCCGCATATATTCATCTAGCCTAGTCCCACCCCCAACTCCTTCTGTAGAATGTAAGGTTCTTGAGGGTAAAGGTCTGTTCCATTGTTTTTGTTGTGGTTTTTGGTCACCCAAGTTTCTAGCCCAGTGTCTTGCAAATAATAAGCACTTGGTGGCCATATACCAGGTACTCAAAGGTTTGCAAAACATTTATCATCCATTATTTCATTTGAGCCTCAATAGGACTCTGTGAGGTTGGAAATCTTACTATTGCCATTTTGCAACTGAGGATACTGAGGCTGAGAGTGGTTATGAGACTGATTAAGGGTCACACAGTTCACAAGTGTCAGAGGCAGGATTTGAACCCAAGGCATCTTGAGTATTGTTGAATGGTCTCAATGACTACTCACCCTTCTTGCTTAAGATTCTGTGAATCCCAATGCCAGCTGATTCTCCCTTAGGTCTTTCCCCAGGCACCTCATCTATCTTCCCCTAGGCTCTAGTAGGTTGAAGCTTTCTGCTACTGTTCCTTCAGGGAGGAGTATCAGGTAGTAAGAAACTGGCACCTGAAAAGCATGAACCTCCTACCCATTTTGCTGTGCCCACTGAGTGCCCTCTGACCAGGTGTTTGCTAATCTTCCTTTGCTCTGGTTAAGCTTATTGGCTTTTCAGGCAGTGGCTGCCATCCAAAAAACACTTGAGTGTCAATGATCTCTGTAACTGATCAGAATTCTTACTGAGGGCCAGCCATAGCCCTTCTGAGAGATCCAAGTTATAGATCCCAAGTGAGAAATAGAAAGTGAGGCCATGTTTACTAGGTGATAAAGATCTGCTACCTATTTGTTGTCTGGGAAGAGTTAAGAAAGTGATGTGCCTTGGCCAGAAACCAGGCCAGTACACTAATCCATTCCTGACATAAAGAACTAAACTTGAAATCTCTTCCAGAGTTGGTTTGATGGTATTTACACCCAGCATGCAACTTGGCTCTGACATTTCAGTTGCAAAGAATCAAAAATGCATTTGAATTGCTTCTCTAATTTCTTGTTGAGCTCTAACTATGGTGGTATGACAAGGGCTTTGCCCACTAGGGATGCCCATGTCAGAGAGCACCAAAGGTACTTTTAGCCCTTTAGTAACATAGAAAGAACTATATTATTTATTGTAGGATTGTAGGTATAGAGCTAGAAGAGAACTCAGAGCTCACCTAGTCTAATCCCCCTCATTTTACAGATGAGGAAACTGAAGCCCAGATAAGTTAAATAACTAATCTTCACTTCTTGGCTTCCCTGACGTCCTTCAAATCCCAGCTAAAACCTTACATTCTATAAGAAATCTTTCCCAATCCCCATTAATGCTTACACCTCCCCTTTGAGGTTAGCTCCAATTTATCTTGTATTTATCTTGTTTGCACATGGTTGTCTGCATGTTATCTCCCCACTAAACCGTGAGCCCCTTGAGATTAGGGACTCTGTTTTTAACCTTTCTTTGCATCCCTTGTGCTTAGTTTAGTGTCTGGCATATAGTAGGCACTTAATAAATGCTTGACAACTTGACTGGTCACAGGTGCCCCACCCCTGCCCTAGAGAGTTATTAATTGTATTGTAGTTGTTCAGTTGTTTCAATCATGTCCCCATTTGGGGTTTTCTTGGCAGAGATACTGGATTGGTTTACCATTTCCTTCTTCAGTTCACGTTATAGATGAGGAAACTGAGACAAGCAGGGTTAAGTGACTTGCCCAAGGTCACACAGCTACTGAATATCTGAAGTCAGATTTGAACTCAGGTCTTCCTGACTCCAGGCCCAGTGCTCTATCCACCATGCCACCTAGCTGCCTATTAATTGTACATTCAATTTCACCAAGGCTCACTTTCTCCATCTATAAAATGGTGATAATAATAGTGCCTACCATATAGGATTGTTGGAAGGATCAAAGTAGATGATATGTAAACAGACATTCAAAGATGAGCACATGATCAATCTCAGCCAGAAGGGTGTCCTAGTTAAAAGTATAGAACCCCTGGAAATTGATGACTATTATCTGCTCTGGCTAGGCCTGCCCAAGTGAGCAACTGATTCACCCAAAAGCCTTGAAAAGGCCAGTATTCCAAGAGGGACCAGGGAAACAAGTGAAAGTAACCCCCACTCTCCAGCCTATCATCAGCCCTAAGATGCCAAGTCTGCAGACAAAATGAAAGATAGCTCTAAATACGGCTGGTTTGATTGTTAGTGTCCACGAAAAGCACATAAACCCCGGGCTCTTACAGAATGTACTTCTGTGAGTACACAGTAGTCAAGACCTAATAAAGCCAGGAAACACAGCACCATGAGGGCATCGTCTCTCGGACTGGGTCCTCCGATGTTTGTTGTGAGTAATAAGTGGAACCTTTGTATTAAAGCAACTTATAAAATAATGTAGTAAATATTGTGTTTTTCTTTTCACTTAAACACATAACACTTGTAAATAACCCCAGTAACCAGTAATGCCTTTTGACATGTGATTTATTATCCTGCAAAAGCAGAAGCCATACAGCCCAGGGGACACATCTTTCTTTTAACACCTCCAGGAGAAACAAATCTTATTACCAAGTGTTTAAAACTGGCCATGTGTTTAATGTCTTCACAGAAATTCATATTCTTCCTTAGCCATGGTAGGTCTTGCCTTTTATTTCCACTGAGTAGGAGAGTTCACCCTTTGTATTTCTATTGTCTTGTGGCATGAGGGCCAGTCACTGGGAAAGAATCACACTGTTACGGAATCTCAGAGTTAGAAGGAACCTGAGAGATCACCTAGTCCAATGTATATATGGCATTCCCTCTTCTGCCTCCATGACTCTGTTCGATTTCTCCCCCGGCCCCACCTCCATCCCAAACATTCACACCTGCCTTTCTGGAAATGAAATCTACTTCCTCCTCAATTCTACCTCTTATAATTTTTCACTCCCTTCTAAACAAAGCTTACGTTTCACCTCTTTATGTGATACCTTTCCAGATCCCCTCAGTTATTAGCAATATTCCCCACCTTGAAATTACTTTGTTATTTTGTATATACTTCGTATTTACTGACTTGTGTACTTATTATATTTCCCGATCCCGATGGACTGGAGACTCCTTGATGAGAAGGACTTTTTTTTTCCTTTGAATCCAAAGTGCTTACCAAGATGTCTTAATAATAATAATCAACACTTAATAAATGTTTGTTGAATTAGAACAGATTGGATTGGATTGGGTTTGGTGAGGATGGTTTGGGTTGGATTGGACTGGGTTGGGATGGGTTGAGGTGGATTAGTATCCCATCTATACCATCATCAGCAAGTGGTCCTCCAGAGTTAGAAGACCTCCAGTGAGAGGTAATCTACTCTAGGCAGCCACTCCCACAATCTGATTACTCCAGTTATTAGAAAATTGGTCCTGCCTCAAATTTAAAATGGACTTTCCCCAACTCCTACTCACTACTCCTAGCTTTGTCCTCTGGAGGTAGGTCCTTGAGGCTCGAGCGTCAGTAAGATTTCTTTTTTTGTAATTTGTATGTGTGCTTTATTAACAGGAAGCTGCCATAAGTTGCTGGATCCAATTCAGTGATGGCTCAGTCATGCCCTTGGATATTTATGACATAAAGGACTTCTCTCTGATGGTGACATCCCTTGATGAAAAGGTGGTCTCCATCCACCAAGACTCCACATTCAAATGGCCTGTTATTACTGCTGAAATGGAGGAAGGGCAGGGTGCCCTGGTGAAGGTGGAAATGGTGATTAGTGAATCATGCCAGAAGTCTAAGAGGAAGAGTGTGCTGGCTGTTGGGACGGGAAATATCAAAGTTAAGTTTGGCCAGAATGATGCCAACCCCAACACCAGTGACAGCAGACATGGGGGAAGGGGTCACATGGAAACCCATGCCAGTGACAGGAGGTTTAAAACAACCTGGCAAGAAAGAATGAGGCCAGATGGGCAGTTTTTCAGCAATTTCTCCATGGACCGTATGGAAGGCAGGGGAGCCACAACAGACAGATCCATCTTCTGGAAGAAGAATAAACAAGAAAATCTTTTAGATGATAATAACCACCTACAAACCATCCCCATGGACTTTACCAGCTTCCCTGTCCAAGTTGATCTCCCAAGGAACAATGGAGAGACAGAGGAGAATGACCTACTCCAAACACCCCGGGGCTTAAGTGACTTAGAGATTGGGATGTATGCTCTGTTGGGTGTCTTCTGCCTTGCTATTTTGGTCTTCTTAATTAACTGTGTGACCTTTGCATTGAAATACAGGCATAAGCAGGTTCCTTTCGAGGAGCAAGAGGGCATGAGTCATTCACACGATTGGGTGGGATTAAGTAACCGGACAGAACTTTTGGAGAATCAACTGAATTTTCCCTCCCCGCAGGAAGAGCAGATCACTGCCATTGACCGAGGGTTAGATTTTGAGGAGAGTAAGTATCTCCTCAACACAAACTCCCAAAAGAGTCTTAATGGTCAGGTTTTCAAGTCTTCAGAATCTCCATTTGCTGATGGGAAAGACCAGAAAAGTGAGCCCACAGCTTCCCCTACCTCTAAGCGAAAAAGGGTGAAATTTACCACCTTCACCACCATTTCCTCAGATGAAGGATGCCCCACGGTCAACTCCATCCTGATGAGCAGTGTGGATGACATCAAATGGGTTTGCCAAGATATGGATCTGGGAGAATGTAAAGAACTGACAAACTACATGGAAAGATTACATGAAAAGGTGTAATGGGATATGAGGGAACATTTGCTTTTCTGCTCACCTTCTGCCTTTAATTTGGGGTAGTGGGGCACAAAGACATCTCAGAAGGAAGTCAATTGGCAGGAAAAGAGAAGAGCAACATCTTCAGCTGAGGACCAGAAAACCACCTGAAGTCAGCAGGATGGAGTCCAGGAGTCAAAGTCCAGATAGGAATTCTCATTCCAAAAGTCTTATTCAAAGCTAGGTTTATTTGATGTCTGCCAAACTTGGCAGGATTTTCACAACTGGAGACAAAAATAAGATTTGATTTAATGAACTTTTCCAGGAAAGAACAATTTCTCTTCTTCTCTCTATCAATCTCTCTCTCTCTCTCTCTTTTTTTTCTTTTAAATAAATGTAGTTATTTGGATATTACAAAATCCAAGTAGCTCCCATACAGACTGGAGGAAAAAAAACAAGACAGGTTCAGTTTTTTTTTTAATGGATCAATGAAAGGAAGCACACCAGCTAAAATAACAGCAAAATATCTAGCCATGAACATTATTGATAATGGACAGAGGTTGGTTTCACACTAGACACTGAGAAGTGACTATTGTGACTTCATATCCCCCAGAGAATTAAGGGGGGGGGAATCTCCTTAGCAACCGAAAAGGCAGGCAATTATTGCCCCATAGAGAAAGGGGGAAAGCCTTCCAATAAGATGTAACCATATGTGTAATAAGATAACGAGAAATAAACTCCATGGGGTGCTTTGGAGTAGTCTTTAGTTTTTGAAGTAAGGGACAGTCACACTGGCATCAATTTACCAGACACAGAATTCTGATTAGGTTCAAAGAACCAGTTTCTTTTTAGCAAGCTCACTCCATCCATCTCTAACATTTCAATTTGTACACCTCATCCATAACCCTGCTATTCTATAAGGGTTGAGTCACTGTCATGGGGCACTTTACAGTCCTCAGTAAGGGTTTTCTGGGCTTCAGAGGTAGAATTAGGATGGGATGAGGGTGCCAAGGGTAGCTGGCATCTGCAGAGCTAGCTTCCTCCCTACAATGGACCTCTCAGTTGCCATCCCTGAAACTTCTGGTCCTCTGCATAGCATAACCACTCCAGTTGCTTGCCAGCCCCAGGGCTTGGGCTAAACTTTCTGGGGATCTGCACCCAATAGAAGCAAAATCTTCCTCTTCCAACCTTCCTACCCAGATGGATTTTCCTTGAGTAACAGAAATCCTAGTTACATCTCTGCTAAGTTGGGAAACCATCCTTGACCTTTCTCTATGTCCCTTCCCCCCCACCAAGCTCTGCAGCATTTCACAGGATTCATTCTACCAAGCCATCTGGAATCACTTGGTACTTGCTTCCTGTGTGGTTATTTTGATAAAGTAGCTGATTGGGTTTGGAAGGGAAGGATAAGCGTTATTCATGCTAAACTCAACATAATCTAACTCCCGTTACCTTTTAAGAAGAGATCACTGGGCTATTTCATTATCTATCTCTAAGTCTGCTCTCTGGTGTCTCATATCTGAAGACTTTCCCCATAGACACCAAGATGGGAAAGCTAGGTCTGAGAGTATAAATATTCAGGGAAAGAGGAGGAGAAACCCAGCACTTAATAAAAAAATTGTTTACCATGAAAGTCATTGTATTTCTTCCTTAGTTTAATCCAATTAGAATGTGAGTTCCTGGGGGGGGGGAGGAACTCTTTGTCTCCCTCCCCCTTTCTTTGTACCCCCAGAGCTTAGCACAGTGCCAGACATGTGATAAACACTTAATACATGTTTGTTGACTTAACTGATTACTGATTAAGATAAACTTTCTGCTAGGCAGCAGAAAGACAAAGATGGAAGCAAACCTTAGTCCTTGCCCTCAGAAGCTCACAGTCTACTTGGAGGGATGCAATATGTCCATCAGGAAGGGTTATCATGGCAAGTTATTTCAAGAGGGAATGAGCACTGCCCACTTAGGGAAGAGGTGGGAATGAGGGGATGGAGTTGTTGTTAGGGATCAAAAAAGGAGTCCTTGACACCTGACCCAGTGAGTTGAAGGAAATTAGGAATCCTAAGAGGTGGGGGTGAAGATGAAGGAAAGTTTGTCCCCAAACTGGGGCTTCAATAGCCAGAAATCACCTGCTTCCAATCCTAAGTCTGACTAATTTGGTTTTGCTGCTTTTTAAACCCAGCACACATCTCCCAGGTTTTTTTTTTTTTGTTCAGTTACATCCTTATTTCTCTTTCACTCCTTATCACTGCCCCATTCAGCTCACTGCTCCTGCCCCTCTCCCATCACTTCCCTAGTCAGAATCCACTATACTTAGAATATATTGTAGATTGTAAGAATGTAATATATATTTATAAACATACTAACTGTAAATAAAATTTGCATTTGGTGGCTTCAGTTCTTCCCTCCTTTCTGCAGATTGTCCCCTGGAAGGGCTTGGCAGTCAGTTTTCAGAGAGCTATCCAAGGCTCTGGCTTTCAGTAAATGAAAATGCAGATTTAAGGATCCCCGCGCAATCTAATTACAAACCTTTACATCGTGTAATGCTGCTCTTCATGTGGAGAGGATGTTGACACCCGATCATAAAGTGCACTGTGCAGCAAGGCTCTCATTCTGAATGGGAAAGTATTTGCAAATAATCACGTGTGTACATCCCTACTAAAAGCCTGCTGAGTGTGCCTGAGATGACAGTAAGTGGTAGGTGGGCTGAGGCAGGTGCTGAAGCCCCTCAGTAAAGGGTCTGCCTGCCTAGAAGAAAGGGAGGTCTTCGGTATAAATTGGCACATTTGAATTTCTCAAATGAAGAAAGTGCGTACACCCAGACATGTGCCTTCCAGGGCATTTAGTGGGAAAGTACAACTTGGGAAGAGAACTCTTGGCCCAGATAGTGGATGGAGTGGAAATCATGGGGGCAGCTAGATGGTGCGATAGATACAGCACTGGGCCTGGAGTCAGAAGACCTGAGTTCAAATTTGGCCTCAGATACTTACTAGCTGTGTGACCCTGGCCCAGTCACTTAACCCCATTCACCTCAGTTTCCTGATCTATAAAATGAGTTGGAGAAGGAAATGACAAACCACTCCAGTACCTTTGCCAAGAAAACCTCAAATTGGGTCACTGAGAGTCAGACACGACTGAAACAACTGAACGACCAAACTGGAAATAATGCCAGATTTGTAGTCAGAGGACCCATGTTTGAAGCTCAGTTCTATTTCCTTCTCTATGAAAGCCAGGACAAATAATAAAATAACCTAGTATATTTATCTAAAATACTCTGTAATAACAAAATAATAATGAAAACTTACACTTACATAGAATTTTAAGGCTTGCAAAGCACTTTGCCTATATTATCTCGTTTGATCTTCATAATCCTGGGGGGGGCGGGGTAAGTGCTATTATTATCCTCTTTTCTCAGTTGAGGAAACTGAGGCTTAAAAAAGGTTCAGTGACTTTGCCAGGGTAAAGTGGCTGGTAAATATATGAGGCAGGATTTGAACTTGGATCTTCCTGATTCCAACTCCAGCACTCTATCCATTATGCCAGATTTTTTTGGTCAGTAACTGTAATTTCATTGGTGTGAAGAGTGCTTCTTGAGGAAAGTTCCTCCACCAATGCAGATCCAGACCTGTTCTACAACTTAAAGTATAAGATACTACAAAATGCAGACCAGTTGCCTATATACACGTAGCCTTAGAGTTAGGCAAGTCATTTTGCCTCTCTTTGCCTCAGTTTCCCTTTCTTAAAAATGAAAATATTTGACTAGATGTCTTCTGAGGTTCCTTCCAGCTCATATGTTACTATGTTGAATATGAAAGTGTGTGCCCTCTTTTAATAAAGAAATGTACCTCTCTCCCAAGAAATATTACATAGAGGCATGGTTTGGGAGAAGAACAGCAAGGTTTGGAAACAGAGGATCTGAGTTTGAATCCTGTCTCTACTACTTATTACCTGTATGACCTTTGATATGTCACTGAATATCCTTGGACTTCAGTTTCCTCATCTGTCAAATGACAGGTTGGACCAGATGACCTCTAAGGTCACTCTACAATTAAGTTAACTGAGGCAAGCAGAGGTTAAATGACCTTACAGGTCATCTAGTCCAACCCCCTCATTTGACAGATGAGGAAACTGAGGTTTAGAGAGATGTGGTGACACCCAAGGAAAAAAAAGTGTCAAAGCCAGGATTTGAACAAAGGTACTCTGACTCCAAATCCATTACTCTTTCCACCAAACCTCATTGTTATTTCTGCTCTTTGTCCTGTATTTACTTCCATTCGGTCATTCTAAAGCCACTTATCAAATGTTTGCTATGTGTAAAGGATTGTGTTCTCCTGACTCGTTCTGACAAAAGGTTGCTCTTTGGGTAGGAATATTTTTACATCCACTTTTACATTCAGAAACTCAAATTTCTGAAGTCAAGATTGGGACATAGCTGAATATCAGGTCATCTGAAAAAATCTGAGGATGGCAGTGAATTGTAAGCTTAGAAGGAGTCAATACTATGATAGAATATATAAAGATGTGTATGTATATACATATATATATATATATACAAAAAGTTAACATTCTCTTAGTTTGCATTGAGAAGCTTCCAGTCCAAGACAAAGAAAATGAGCAATGAACAGAAAGAGGTAAAGTTAAGCTTGACAGTCAGAACAACTTTCCTAACCATTTGAACTGTTCAAAACTGGTATAAACTGACTGAGGAGGTACTGAGCTCCCCTTCTCTGGAGGTGTTCCCATTGAGGTTTGATGACAACTTTTGAAGTAACATGTAGAAGAAAGTCTTTCTTGATTTTGACAAGGTGGCCTCTGAGACACTTTACAACTCTCAGTCTAAAACTCTATGATCCCTAAAGTCATTTCCAGCTCTAAATCCTATGAAAGCAAAATTCCAATAAATTGAAGGCTGGTTATGAAGATCTGGAGTCAAAATAGTTTCCAATTTGGATGAAAAAGCTAATACATAGTGACAATGGCTGATTCACTTTTTCCAGGTCACTAAGACACTGGAAAGGTTGGGCTTTCTTCCT